GGGGGGGGTGGGAGGGGGGGCACGCCACTGCTGCCGAGACGTGTGTCCTCTGTGTGAAGGACTTTCATTGAGGGAAAAAATAAATAAATAAAAATCAAAGCACAGAGAGGGCGAGGAAAATGTGTGTGTTTGTGTTGACTCGCGTATAGGCTATGCATAGATTTTTCCTTGTCTGACGCTTACGTTTTCCACATGGATTCGAGTGTCTTGTTACTGGTTACTCGTTACAAGCCTTGCGACTGAATCTGGGCTATCAACATTATTTTTCCACAAAGAGTCTCTAATCGATCATAAACACGCTCTGGAATGCAATTGAAAAGACAAACAACCCTGCCTTATTTGTTGAATCTTGTGAATGATGATGATGATGGTGAACTGCCACTTTTTTATTAATTAAAGAAAACTTTTCCTTGTCAACGCTTTGTGGTCGCCACCGTTTCAGGTTCACAAAATTCTGATTCCTCCCGAAGGATTTTGTTTTTATCAACTGTCATCACTTGGCAACACGCACGTTCAGACCATATTAAAAGTAATGTTCTCTCTCCTGCGTCCTCACAAATTTAATATGGGACTTGCTTTTCCCCCCACAGCGTCAAAAGTTAATATTGCCTCGTAGCTACAAAAAAAAGAAAAAAAAAGAGAAAATTGCATTGTAAAAAATGTGATGTCTGTTCACGTGATTAATTGTTGGATGATAGAAAGACGCTTGGAAAAAATGATGACTGACTGCGTCCACCACGTGTCTCCTCCTATGTTTGGCGACCGCGCCATTTTGCTGAGTGCATCATCTTATTCCTAGCGTTGACCCCAAACCTCGATCATTTTAATGACGCTTGCACTCTTGACAAGATCTCGCCAGATGTGACTGCTCACCCGTAGGCTACTGGTTGATGGGGTGTCAGGGCGTGGGTGGGGGTTTTTTAGGCAGCCTTTGGCAAACTGCCTGGCTAAGATCATGATTTTTCTAAAAACCACCAACCACAGAGTCTGGATGTCTGAACCCCTGTCATCATAGAGAGAGGCCTCCCCAGTTGTGTGTGAGAGAGAGAGAGAGAGAGAGAGAGAGAGAGTTAGTGATATCGTGACACTTCCTGTGTCACGGACTGGATTTTGTGCTCACCAGAGGTTTCAAATCCAGGTCCAGAAAGTAAAAACCCTGCCACGGTTTGGCATTAGCCACAGGTTCTTCTAATCAGGTGGCAGGTAAATGGAGCTTGTGGCGCTCGCCGATGGCTCCACTGTCAGGAGTTAACAGGAAAATTAAGATGCCTGCAAGATGGAGCTCGAAATTAAAGGGACACTAGATTGGCCTGAACATTGGCACGAGTGACGGCCAAATGAAGCTTCATGAAGCAATGAAGCTTTGCAACCAAATGATTTGCACATGGTTCAAAGCTTCATGGTGCTTCATTTTCTCAATGGTGCCATCAAGTGGTCTAGAAGCCCAAAAGGTCAACAGTGTTGAGAATTCTTTGGCTGTTTGTTTCAGAAAATGATATGAATGTGCTTGTGTGACTCTATGAACAAAATGCAACAAGTGCTATGAGGATAATTTGTTTGTCATTTTTATTTAGAAGTAACAGCTTTCCCAGAGTGTTTGGCTTTGAACGGTTTCTTTTTAGAAAATATTCTTTCACAGGGCATATTCAAGACATGTCGTTCCATCTTGTCTCGACTTCTTGACCGAGCTTTACAGTGCTGGCCAACTCATTTGCATTATATGTTACACCGTTTAATTTTGCTAACGTAAGATTGGTCCGGTTTCACGAGTCTCCTTGCTGTCATGCGGGGCTCAGTAATGCCTCAGCATCACCGGAATCCACAAAATGTGAGATGACCGGCGATCACCATTGTGTTTTTGCGGACGCTTTATACCGTCGTCTGTACTGTATTTGCAATGCCCGCCAAACCTTCGTGGGAACGCCCCTCCCATTACTCGACATGAACCTCGAAGCCTCCACACGTCACCCTTTGAAAAACTCACTGGTGACTTTTGTTTTGTGTGTGCGGTTGTGTGTGAGAGAGAGAGAGAGAGAGAGAGAGAGAGAGAGAGAGAGAGAGAGAGAGAGAGAGAGAGAATCCTCCCCAGTTGTGTGTGTGAGAGAGAGAGAGAGAATATTCCTCCCCAGTAAATCACAATGTCGCAAAGTCACCCACACATTCTCATTCGCCCTCCGGTCACCTGCGCCTGGGTCATACATTCACGCACTCGGTTTGAGTCAAAAAGTTGCACACTGAATGCCAACCACGTGTGTGTCAGGAAACCAATGACGGGCGCGCATGGTGTCACCACAAATCACAGATGGGTCCCCGCAGGGGTTGCATGTACATTGCAGCACCGGCGCTCGTCAGGTGTTTTCGAGCCAGACGGTGTCCTCATTGGTTCAGCAGCAAACCACCCGTACGCATTCCTCCTTGTCCACCAGCTGAACAGCTTGCTCTCTCTCGCTTTCTTGTTCTCTCACCGACACACAAACATACACGCACACAGACACACTCACACACAAGGGGATAGGCTGAAATTCAAATGACATGCTTGTCGAATGAGGAAGCGCCTTGATTGGACGTGAGAGGAGGCTGAAATTCAATTCGTAAACCAATCGGATCCTGTGTCCATTTGCTCCCCCTCCCTCCCCTTTCCCCTCCATAACCTTATTAGACGACCTCCCATGGCTCTCAGATTTCCTGTCCACTGGGTTGCACCCTGCGTAGGATGTCATTAGCAATGTACTGGTTTTGTTGACCATATTAGGTCAGATCCTGGATTGCTAGCCTCCTCCCACTCCTTTTTTTTTTTTTTTTTAATTAACATGATGCTTGGAAGGCTGAGGCCTTCTTTTTGAAAGAAAACAAAATCAATTTGTTTTTCTTGTCCTTTATACACAGCGTATATAAAATATTATTTTCATCTCTAAAATATTTTTTTCATCTCTTCCTTTTCTAGCGTCTTTGTCCGTTGAAGTGGCGTTGCGTTATGTAAAACAGCAACCATGTTTATTTAGATTCAATAAGCTGAGGCCAAGCCCCGCAAACTATTCAAAGTTCATTTTTGGAATGTTCTAAATCAACAAGTCCAAATTTGGACATGGAAACTATGCAGAGAATAAGTGAAAATCCTCCACATGATTTACAATTAAATATAACTGAGCTCAAAATGTTTTATGTAGATCTTACTCTCAGATAACAAAAAATGTTGATTACCATCAGAGTTAAATTTAGAAACTAAGGTCCTTAAAGTAGTCAGAATGAATTTTTCCAAATTCCATAATAGTTTTTTTTTTTTTTTTTTTTTAATAGTAGCCAAACCATATGTATTTAGTTTGAGGTGGATAATTTTAAATAAACCAGTTCCCACTGTATTATTAACTGCCTTCTTTAATTAGGGCTTGATTGACACATTCAGAAAATCTGTTTCCTATATTTCATGTTGCACTATCCATCTTTATGGTCAAAATCATTAGAATTGTAAATTAGTTTTGAAGAAAGTCTTTCAAAGAAAAATCAGCTCCAACAAAATCTTATTTCAGCATTTCTAGACAGGAGAATGGCAATTTAAATTCAAAACAAATCAATATCAATGATCAATTATATTTACCTTTTGTGTTGACAAAATCCCCCCCAACGCCTCCAAAAAAAAAAAAAAGAATGCTGGCAATTTCCTCTCTGTGCAAGCCCTCCTGTGTTCCCAGAACTAATATGAGTAAAATCCAGAAAGATTAAGGCTCCCCCTTCCCAGAAAAGGTATATTGGGGGGAAAGATCTGTGTCATTGCTGTGAAAAGAGGCTTTGTGGGGCTGTCAGTCGGAATAGGGCATTTCATAGAAGAAGAATTTGTGAGTCAGTGTCATGACAAAAGTCTTTTGTCTGGTTTCTGCCCTGCAACCTTGCAATTAAACATTGGCACAGGGAGCTAACATAAATATATGTGATAAACACAATTAATCATTCTGGCACAATAACACGGTGACCAGATTGATTGCTCTAAAATTTGTAAAACACAAAATCAGTCATTAAAAAAAAAACTGTTAAGGATGATAATTTAGTTTGGGAACTATTGAGAGATTTTTAGTAATGGATTGATCTCAATTCAGCACAAAAACTTGGCATTTTGTGTTTAAGTATTTGAAGAAATGATTCACCTACTTGGAAAATAATTGTCGGTTCATTTGTTTGGTGAAATTATTTCTTTTTACACTTTGGAGATTTAAATGGGCACAATGTGGAAAATGATGAATGCTGCATTCTTAATTATTTAATCAATTTTTGTCTTCATTTTTAAGGTTCTAAACTATATCAAAATAAGCCACAAATGTTCGGGAGTTATTCAATTCAATGTAAATCTTGAAAATCTGCATTGTTTACTCTTCAGATATTAACCTTTTAGCTGCTATGTCTTTTCTCTATCTATCATTTCTAGTTGAAAATAGAAAGAAGCCGGTGAACTTTTCCGTATATTTTTCGTTTCATGATGATATGTGCGAGTTTTTAGAAATAAAATGGAATGATTTCATGTGAATTTATAGCTTTAATCTTCAAAAAAGTGGATCCAGTCTAATTCTTGGCTTCAAACTCCACCTTTTGGTCTTTCTTTGTGGAGTTTCTAAATCATACCGACTGCTGATTTGACTGAGCAAACGAAACTAAATATTTTCTTGAATTAATACCAATTTTGTGAAACGTTATCTTAAATGTGTGATTTATCTAACCAGTGGATACAAAAAAAATATTTAAAAGCTTTCAATAAAATTAAAATGAGCATATATTAATATTACAAGTTTGCTGGCTGGGGAAAAAAAATTGTTCTTTACAGATATGCTCCCCACAACTTGAATTATTATTAAACTATAATTTAATTTATTTTAAAGGCACCAAAGATCGTATGAAAATATACCTGTACACTATGATGAAGTACATCATGTGATCAGAAGCAACATCAATAAAACCTACTATATTAATGCCAAAATATAAACTACACTCACATTTTCCCTCTTTCTCCTCAGGAATTTGCCCTGCAAATTGAAGCAGCAACAGAAGTTGTCGTCCAGAAGGTCAGTAAAACCAAAATCCAATATTCTTTTGTTTTAATGAATTATTGCCCTCTTAACAGCCTTCATCACACTCTCCAAATAATGTTTTCATAGTGTAGCTACTTATACGTGTTTTGTAAAAAGGAAGAAAAAAATCATGAGGAAAAAGTGTCTTTAACAAATTGAATGTGAAGTCTATTTAGCAGAGGGGACAGATGTGTGTTTTTAAATGCTGGTGTACAAGGCAGAAGTATATATTTTTTCTAAATTAGTTTGTCATCTTGTGTTGATTGTGCAATAAAATTGGTTGTATGCTTAACCACATTGAAAAAGCAGCAGGGCATTTTCTTCATTCTACTTTGCAATTGAACTTAAATATATTCATTTTAAGATTTGACCTTCTTATACTTGTCATCATTTGTACTGAACAAGCACATATTCTGTTTCCCTTTGGCCTTGCGTCCATATTTCATGTTGTCTAGAGGTAGGAAGCGGTTAAATCATGAATCAGACTTGATCACGGTACCTCTGTCGCGTTGCGAGCTGTTGTAGGGGCGCCATTTTGTGCAGTCGGGCTAGAGAGGAAAGAGTCAGCCATTTTGTGCTTGTCACTGCAGCCGCCCCATTTTGTGCTTGCTCACTGCCCTGTTCAGACTCCAAGCGCTTGAGAAACGTCCAGAGAAGAAATATATACAAGCTTACCCTTTAAAGAAAGTGCTGATAAAGAGGAATTGACTTCATAGATCTAATCCTGGATAATCCGTAAGGTATTTGCAGTATGTCTGATGACGGTCTCCACTGTGTATTTGGGTGGACTCACTGTTGAGAAAGAGTTCAAACGTTGAGCGTATTTGCCCGTTTGTCCTCCTTCCTTATCATAGGCAGATGACATTTGTCCTGAGTACAGGGGAAGGTGGGGGAGAGAGGGGTGAACCCCATCAAGAAGAGCTGATGTAGAGGAACATTGTTTGTGGGAGGTGATGGAGAAAGAGAAATGATGGGGCAAGGAGGAGAGAAGGAGGGTTTGTCCTGCACGCCCCAACATGGTTACACATACGAGACCAGATAACACCCAGTGGCCCCTCTGCCCGAGGTGTGTCCTTCTCTGTCTCACGGAAAGAAAGACTTCACCCCGTCTCTCCGACATGTCCGGTGGGGCCCCAATCTTACCAGTAGCTACTTGTGTTAATTTTCCTCACATTCTGGTTTTGGGTCTGATGCAACAAGTCACTATTATAAGCAAGAATATCAAGCTCACGAAGGAAGCAGGTGACTTTGTACCTCATGGGTCTTATTATTATTATTATGATTATGATGATTGTTCATTTTATTTATTTTTTTACCTTTGATGTTAATGTGTGTGTGTGTGTTCACTGGTTCAGGTGTGTCCTCAGGAGTCTCCAAGGAGACCTTTTTTTTTGTTCTGCATTTGCTCCATCTTCTCGTGAAATGTGAATAGGTGATGTCATGGAAATACACTTTTTTGGGGCCCTTGAGATGGGTTATGGGTGTGAGCTGTGGTGGAGGTGAATCTGATATGACTCTGAGAAACGTAATACTACATGCAACTTTTGTCGCCGTGTGGCATGTTTATGATGCAGTTTCCCTTATGCCAGTGGTATTGAATAGCTGTATCAACATGACAACCTTATTGTCACTTCAACAAAATATGGATTTAATACTTCATTATTACATTGTGTGTGTGTGTGTGTGTGTGTGTGTGTGTGTGTGTGCGCGCGCGTGCATGCGCGCGCAGATGACTCGTATGAATAAGTGATGTTTTTTTTTTTTTCAACCATTTTCGGTAAAGCACATCAGCAAAACCATGACATCATCAGTCGCCAGCAGACTCACATTGACGCTGTTGTCGAAGATGATCAGACCACCAGTTGATTTTAATGAATTGTATGAAGACTCATTGACGATTGTGTGAGTCAAATTCGGTGTCCGCTCCTCTCACTAAAACCTTTTTTTTGAAGAAGCATCCATTTCAATAAGGTCACCATATTTCAATACTGATAAAAAGTGCACTGCACTGACCTTTTCCTTGCTGAAAAAGGAAAGCACCTCTTCATTTTAAACACCTAACTTGGGTCTAATTTTATTTATTTTTTTTTAAAAGGCTCTCACAGTGAACCCCAAAAGACAGCTTCCCGTCCAACCAAATATCTAAGTATTTTTGGGATGACACGCTCTCTGCTATAGTGCCATTCTGAGTTGACAAAGTGACTTCCAGTGTAAAGCATGAACAGGTAAAAAATCATTCATTTGGATTCATGTAGCGTTTAATACTAACTTTAACCCCATCAGAGATTCTTGTACCTGAACAAAAGTTGACTGCCAATATGTAATTGCCTCACTCACTGATGTAGCGGAGATGTACAAAATAGTCTCATCTGCGTAAAATTTAAAATTTGCCCTCAGTACCGACCTAAATTATTCATATAGATGGAGAATAAAATGGGGTCCAACATTGACACTTGTGGGACACCCGTTTTTTAATTCCAGCAAGGGTAAAGTACAATTACCCAATGCCACACACTGAGTTATACCACCCTTACAGGGACTGCGGGTACTACAGTTTATCATGTTATCAGGATACACGGTGCATGAAAGGGTGAAAGCAGTTTCGCACACTACTAATAAAACCTAAAATCTAGTCTTTGCAGGAGCAGGTGACATTTCACGGTGTCAAATGCTTCAGATAAATTAAGAAATAAAGCAGCACAACTCTTCTCGTTATCCAAATCTTGTAACCCAGGCGTGTCAAACATACGGCCCGCGGGTCGGAACCGGCCCCCAAGGAGGTTCGATCCCGCCCGCGGGATCATTTAAAAGTGAAAAAAAAAATGCATTAAAGACACAGAATGAATATTTTAAATAAAATGCAATTTGTGGATTATCTGCTAGGGGGGCACACTGTTTTGATCACAGTAGAAGACAACATTGTTTTGATTGGGGAAGAAAACAGCAGTCTCAGTCTGTCACGGAGATAGACCCAACGTAGCAAATGATATGAAAGCGCCAATCAATGTTTCTTGAGACCAAAACAAAGAGATGATATTTTGGTGATTCATAGCACAGTATGGTATAATGTTAATGGTTCGGCCCACTTGACATCTACCGAGTCCGTATGTGGCCCACAATGCGAAATGAGTTTGACACCCCTGTTGTAACCCCAAACAGTTTTGCCAAGACAGGCATTCTGGAAAGTGGGCAATAATTTGTTTTTAGACTCAAGGGTCTCCACTTTTTAGAAGAGGGAGGACAAATTCAGATTTCCGTGATTTTAGAAGAGAACCACTGTGTAGACTGATATTTGAAAATGTAGGAGATATGGCCAGCAAGCAAGTTTACCGCACTCTTAAGGAAATATGGCTCAATCAGGTTTGGACCAGCAGACTTTTTACAGTCCGATCTCAATAGGGATTTTTTTTACTTTCAGACACAAATATTGAAGTAATGGTTGATAATGACTTTTAATAGACCCATTGGCAACGTGAATTTTACACTACTGTCTAGAGTGCAACCAGCGCGAGAAAGCTAGAGGGAGATAAAAACAGCAGAGATAAGAGTTTAAAAAAAACTATTCAAAAAAAGGCTGGTGAAAATTCTGATCGGCTGGTAACTTTAGAGTCACCAGCTACATTGGCATTTTGAACACTGTACATGTTTGTGACAATGATTATGCGACACGGTGCGGATTTCAATTTGAATTAGTCCCACACTTGCTCTTTTTTTTTGGACGTGTTTTTCTTTTCGCTCTGTCAACCGCACGTGCTGAATTGATTTTTAGATTTATTTACAATGCATGTGAAAACACAAAAGTCTGAATTGTGCCAATCCACCATAAAATGGCTTGCCAATGAACGGTTTAAAAGTACTTTGAGGCAAGTGCTGTCATATTTTTGGGAATGTACATATTTGAAATGCCGTGACACAAGTGTACTGATAGTGGCAAGCCAAAGACAAAAATTGCTTACTACCCTGGAATCAGAAATCAAAATAACTGCTTTCAACTCTTTTCTGTCCAGGCTGCTCAGTCCAAAAACCTTCAAAAACCTTACAATTACAGTCGTAGTTTTTTTTTTCAACTCTTGTATACATCCATCCATTTTCTAACCCGCTTATCATCACGAGGGTCGCAGGAGTGCTGGAGCCTATCCCAGCCTTCATCGGGCAGTAGGTAAGGTACACCCTGAACTGGTTGCCAGCCAATCGCAGGACAGACATAGAGGAACAACGATTCACAATAACACAAGGGACAGTTAAGAGTGTTTCATTAACCTGCCGTGCATGTTTTTGGAATGTGGGTGGAAACCGGCGTGCATACCTGGAGAAAACCCACGCAGGCACGGGCAGAACATGCAAAATTCCACACAGCCGGAATCGAACCCTGTGCCTCTGAAGCCGACACGCTAACCAGTCGACCACCGTGCTGCCCTCTTGTATACATGTGTTAAAAAATGTGTTGCTTGTCTATTTTTGCCCAAATGTTTCCCCACACTTAGTAAATATAGTTTAAGAAATGGCGAAAAGTCATTTTCTGACACAGAATATTCATTCATTCATTCATTTTCCAAACTGCTTTATCCTCACTAGGGTCACGGGGGGGGGGGTGCTGGAGCCTATCCCAGCCGGCTTCGGGCAGTAGGCGGGGGACACCCTGAACCGGTTGCCAGCCAATCGCAGGGCACACAGAGACGAACAACCATCCACGCTCACAATGACACCGAGGGACAATTTTGAGTGTTCAATCAGCCTGCCATGCATGTTTTTGGAATGTGGGAGGAAGCTGGAGAAAACCCACGCAGGCCCGGGGAAAACATGCAAACTCCACACAGGAAGGCCGGAGCTGGAATTGAACCCGGTACCTCTGCACTGTGGAGTTGACGTGGTAACCACTCGATTAGCGGGCCGCCCACAAAATATATTATATTCCAAAGATATGAAAGAGGTTTCACGGCATTCTGAATTGGTTACTTTTGGAATAAATTGTGTTTGCTGTGCTTATTGTATAC